GAGTGTGTAAGACTACTGAGATAATGTTTTATACTCTGAAAGTTTGCATATAAACTTCTGCTATTAAAATGAATTAATGATAAATTATTTTCAGTCTTAACATTACTGTTAAACTGCTCATCCGTGTAATACTTGCAGTTATTTTCATAGTTCACAAAAAAGTTTATTTCTGGGTCAAAATCTTCGTCCGGTTCATGATGCTGAATTTCAGAGTTTCCAGATGTATTCAGTTCCAAATCCAATTCGATAATAGAGTAAATAAAATTCTGGCTCCCGCAATCTGTTACTTTTACTTTATTTGGTGCAATTCGCACCCTGGAAGTGGGTCTTAAATTGCATTCAAAGTGCTCTAAAAAGGCCTTGAAAAGACTCAAATTTGACTTGATGAAACCTGCAGAAACCCTGATTGATTCTGTGTGGGTTACTGATTTATGGTAGCTAAAAGTCATTATTTTTCTCATGCTCAGAGTGTGTATATTTGAGCTGGTTATATTTTAAATGGCCTCTTAAGAGAAAACATAGGCTTAGGACATTATGTGTTAGACGCATCATACTGACCCTAAATGATATTTAGACAGTAATAGCCTTTTCATTGTGTGGCCTGTGGAGATCCAGAGATATTTTGTGGTCACCCGGGCATGCCTGTGTTTAACTCAGGGTAAGCGGACAAGGGTTATATATACACACCCACACAAACACAAACATCTCCTGACAGTCGGGTTGTTAGGGACAACAGGGAGTTGAAGAGGGGTCAAAAAGGGTGAAAAGTCAGGCTTACTGGGCGGCTGTGAAGCAACACCAGCTTGGTGACTCGAATATTGATCCTGACTCCCAGACTCTTGTGGTGGAATATGTTGTAGACCTGCAAGAGACAGAACAGCCCTATTACAGATTTTGCCATCAATGGCAGAAAAAAAGAAAAGGAAAAGCAGTGAGCAGAGAGGAATCAAGTGAATGTCCAGTTTTACATCACTTAGAAATCGTACACAATCTACAGACAGTTATTTTAGTTCAGGGTCAAAATATAACATAAGAGACCTTATTTTACACAAATTCCTCTCTCGCACTCTAGGCCTCTTTCTCAGGAAGGGTAATTATCTGATGAGGTACTGTCTTCAAGGCTGCAAAAGATGCACCCTGAGGAGTGTTCTTTATATGTTGCTAAACAGATCCTAGATCAAATGATTTTGTAATGCCACCTGTGTTGCTAACTAATAACACCTGGATTCAGTCATTCAAGATAAGTGCGTGCTCT